GCAGATCGGATGGTGTACCAGTCGCTAGTACTAATTGTTTCCATGAATTTTGGTTTTCTTCATTCTTCTTTGCTCTGGATGAGGAGAGACCCATCATTCCCTTGCAGTCACTTCTAATGCCAGATTAAGAGAAACCTTCAAAAGAAATTCTCAGATTCAAAAAAGGCATCGGCTATTTCCTAATAGAAAGCCTAAAAATATTTTTCATAAATGCTAAACAGGTGCTAGGTTATGCCAGGGTGAAACTATCAGGTAGAGTCCTTAAGTGATTCTTCCTGCTCTTCACCTACCCACAAATGACACTCCCTGCTATTTCCCCAAGACCTACACTTCCTCCTTTCTTTCTCCTCTACCAGCTCTGCTTTTCAAAAGGGATCTACACTTACTCACAAAGAAGTAAAAATAACAGTAACAATGTGTGTTACCCTGTCCCAGGAAAATCTGCATATTAGCAGGACTACAAATCTTAAAAGAGCTCCATAAACTGAACATTCATGAAGTCTGAGTATTGGAGGATGCAGGTACTTTTGGGGACAGTGCATTCCTATGTCCCAGAGATCACACCACTTAGCCACTATTCTATTAGGAAGGTTAGCCAAAAGGACCTAACTTACATCTCCATTTGAGTAAATTTCTATGGGTTATTTGAGTATTTGTATGTATGGTGATTAGAGTCAAAGGCATCAACAACATAGAGGTTGCATGGGTAGCCTATGAGCTTATCCTTTCAAGCAATTCCAAGGTGCACCACTTACACTCTCTGTGAATGGCATGCCCACAACCCAAAATGAATGGTGCTTCCTGAAGCAATCCACAGTCTGTTCTCTTCTTTTTAAAATAGACTCACCAAGAACCTTGAAACTGAGGATTTTTTTCCCCACTGAAGGATCTTTATATTTAAAAGAAAATAAGCATTTAAGCCTTAACTTCTAGTCTCAGATCATCAATTTAACCTTCAAAATGTGGAAAGAAAGGAAGCAAGACTCAACAGAGTGATGAAGTGATTTGCCAAGTCAATTTTTTTCTTTGAAATTTAATTTATTTTGATGTTGAGAATATACACAACAAAACACAAACCAATTCAGCAGTTTCTACATGTACAATTTAATGACACTGATTACATTGAGTTGTACAACCAGTCTCATCCTCCTTTTCTGAGTTGGTCCTCCCTCATTAACATAAACCCACTACCTACTACCAAAAACCAAAACCAAACTCAATGACATTGAGTCAGTTCCAAGTCACAGCGACCCCTCCTTAGGTTTCCGAGGTGTTATTGCTATGGAAGTAGACTGCTCAATCTTCCTTCAGAGGAGTGGCTGGTGGGTTTGAACCACCAGCCTTCTGGTTAGCAGTCAAATGCCTTAGGCAATATGCCACAAGAGCTCCCAAACCAAACTCACTGCTGTGAAGTCGATTCTGCCTCATAGCGACCTCCCCTTGGGTTTCCGAGACAGTATCTCCATGGAAGTAGATTGTCTAGTCTTCCTTCCAAGGAGTGGCTGGTGAGTTTGAACTGCTGGCCTTCTGGTTAACAGTCAAATGCCTAAGTCCTATTTAATCATTTGAGTTGCTGTTGTCAATTTGATCCTATATAGATAGCTCTTAAGAGAGCATAATGCTCAAAGTAGACCCTTTTTTTTTAAAACCAATTAAGCTAAAAAAAAGGAGCTCTGGTAGCATAATGCCTAAGGCACCTGACTGCTAACCAAAAGGCTGGCGGTTCAAACCCACCAGCCACTCCTTGGAAGGAAGATGGGGCAATTTACTTCCATAGTGATACTGCCTCAGAAACCCAAGGAGGGGTTGCTATGAGTCGGGTCCAACTTGACAGCACATAACAACAACAAGAAGCTAAAAAAAAAAAAAAACTACTGTTTGGTTTTAAGAAGACTTTAAGGGACATTTTTTGGTTTTATAAAGTTTATCTCAGGGCAATAGTTTCAGGGATGCATCCACCCTTCATGGCTCCAGAACGTCTAGAGTCCATGAAAATTTGAAATTCTGTTCTATATTTTCCCCCTTTTGATCAGAATTTTTCTATGGAATCTTTGATCAAAATGTTCAGCAATGGTAGCTGGGCATCACCCAGTTCTGGTCTCATGGCAAAGAAGGCATATTCCAAATTCTCCTCCTATTCCTGAATCGCAAACTTCCTCAGCTGCTCAAAGGAAAATAGAGACCCACTGTCATGCCTTGGATTACTACAGGCAAGCTTTTAAGACCCCAAGCACTATGCAATGAACTAGGAGACAGAGCAGAAACACCAAACATATTAAATTTAAATTTACAAATAATAACTCTGGCATTTTCATCTTTTTTTTTTTTTTTTTTTTGGCATAAACATGATACTGTGCTAAAAACAAAATTCTCACCTTTTAGATGTATACTGAAATATTTCTGAATGAAATGATACACTACCTGAGATTTCCTTCAAAACAAGGCACAGAGTAGGAGCAAGTAGGGAGAGGTACAGATTGGAAAGTATTGATAAATTAAGCTGCATTATGAGGACACAGTGATATATTATACTCTTACAATTCAGTACTACTTTGAAATATTTTTAAGTTAATCATACTCTTACATACCAATCAACAACAATCCACAGCCATCGAATCAATTCTGACTGACAGCAACCGTACAGGACAGAGTACAACTGCTCCATAGGGTTTCCAAGGCTATAAATCTTTACAGCAGCAGTCTGTCTCATCTTTCTCCCACAGAGTGGCTGGGAGGTTTGAACCACTGACCTTTTGGTTAGCAGACCAATGCTTTAACCACTGCATCACCAGAGATCCTCTTTAATACTCAGCAAAGATAGGTGTGTTTATTAAACATGTTAAAAGAATAAATGAAAATCTGTTTACAACTCATGTAAGAAAGACTAAAAGGAAACATACAAAGTAACAGTGATTGAATTACAGAAGTAGAACTATGCTTTTTTTCCTCACTTATTTCCAAAATATTCTTTGTGTATAGGCATTTTTTAAGTTTTTTAAATAAGCTTAAAAGATCAAGATAATAAAAATCCATTTAGTTCCTCATTATTGTGGTTCTCTACTATCAATCTTCAATCTTTATTGTTCCATTCAAGGTCTACCAAAAATCAAAACTTAATGCAGGAATACTCCAACTATCACATGTTACCTTATTTTGTGAAATGATAATTATAACTTAATAACTGAATTTGCCTGTTGAAATATTAGTGTCTTTGAGTCATTTAGGTTATAGGATACATTTAAGACCATCGTATACATAAACAATTCTAAAATTAAGATCTCTTCAGAGAAAACTTAAGCCTAAAATTATTCTTATCTTGAAAATTGTCATTATTTTGCTTGTTTTTTCATTCAGCCTCTATTTCCTGATTTATATCAACTACAGTCAGAAGTTTAAAGTAGACAAAAACACACTGAGCCAAGAAGGTGAGAAGGATCCACATGAGTAATAAGAAAAGTTTTTGCAAAAAGGGGACCAGGTTTGCTGGTCCGATAGAGCCTGATGGAACCACTGAGACTAAGGCCCCCAGCTGCCCTTCAGGTCTGGAGTTGAGCCCACATCTGTGGCTTCCAGCCAAACAAAAGACAGGCATATGAGTTGAACATTTACCTGAGGTAGCTGCATTCCTTGGAGAGAACAATCATGAGAGAAAGAAGGGCTGTATATGCACAGGGAGGCAGTTCAGGGGGTAGGGGTACATAGAGGGATGGACACAGGGAGGAGGTGACTATCCAGAGGAAGTGGGAGGGGAGCTGTTGCATTGGGGTAGACTGTGGTCAATGTCACGAGACGAAGTGTATGTGAACTGCAGGATGGAAAGTAAATTTGCTCTGTAAATTTTCACCCAGATCACAATTTAAAAAAAAAAAAAAAAAGTTTTTGCAAGAAGCAATATGAAGAACACTCTGAAGCCTCAGAACAAGGAACCATAGAAGACCAAAAGGGCAGCAATTACCCAAAAACAAAGCTCAGAAGGCAGGAAGAAGCAGGAAAAAAGAACAATGGAAACCAGGAACTCAGGGAGGAAGTGGGAAGACTGATGTTACGTTGAGTGGACTGCAACCAATGTGCATAAACTGTTGAATGGAAAATTAATTTACTCTGCAAACTTTCACCCTAACCACAATTTAAAATAAAAAACAAAAACACAGAATAAAGCCCTTGCTGATCCACAATTAAAAAAAAAAGCCAAGATATTTTTGTAGGTAATAGCCCACTGACCGCTACTTTAGCCAGTGTTAAACCAATTGAGCTGCCTCTTTTACCCTTCAACTAGCAGTTAATTTCTGGATACTAATCTTAACAAAAGAACATATCTATTTGTCCAATAAATGATATTAATAAAAAAACAAGAAAAGTTTACAGAGTTCAGTGACATGTTGTTGTTGTTGTTGTTGTTGTGTGCTGTTAAGTTGGCCCTGACTCATAGTGACCCCTCCTTAGGCTGCCGAGGCAGTATCACTACAGAAGTAGATTGCCCAACCTTCCTTCCAAGGAGTGACTGGTGGGTTTGAACCGCCAGCCTTCTGGTTAGCAGTCAAGTGCCTGAGGCACTACGCTACCCAAGCTCCCGACATAGATAAAGAAAGCATTCAAAAATATCATTCGTAACAGTATTTGCCATTATTTTCTGTGGTTGTTAAAATAAGGTAGAGTCATGTGCCTACATAAATTTACTAAAAAACTAAGATTTGAGATTTGAATTGACAAACCAAAAGAGTTTGGTAACAATATTTGTTTTCTATCTTTTTACAGATTCAAAAGAGCGATACAAGTGGAATCTCAAAGAATGGCCACCTTGAGCTCTACCTACTGGAACGAAACCTCCACATCTGTTTATCAGTACCTCAGTTTTCAAGTTCAAAAGATTTACCCTTTCCACGACAACTGGAATACTGCCTGCTTTGTCATCCTCCTTTTATTTGTATTTACAGTAGTGTCTTTAGTGGTGCTGGCCTGCCTTTATGAAGTGCTTGACTGCTGCTGCTGTGTAAAAAACAAAACCGTGAATGACTTGAAAAATGAACCTAACCCCCTAAGAAGTATGATGGACAACATAAGAAAACGTGAAACTGAAGTGGTCTAGCACTCTATATAAGATGATAAAAATTTCTGAAAGCAGCCTTCAACCTCTTCTGAGTAAAAAGAAAATAATTTTCTGAGCCTCATCATTATTTGAATGCTGATTCTGATTCAGAATGGTTGGAAGATGCCCAACAAACAGGAAAAAAAGGAGTTAAATATGCACTTGTATATATGTATGCGTTTCATTAAACCTACAGTAAAACTGCATAAATTTACAAAGCTATTTAACATGTTACTTCAAAAACTGGAAAAAAAATAAGCAAAGGTAATGACACTAAAATAACTTCAACTATTTATGCAGTAGTAATGGAATTATCTACAAAATCCAACAACCTTTCCTTATAATAATTCTCTATAAGCCAGGAACAGAAAAGATAAGTCTTCAGCCAATAACAAGAATCTACAAAAAACCTATAGCAAACATCCTACTTTAAGACTAAATGTTTTAACGTTTGTACAAGTGTATTGGTATGTTCTGTAAGAATTCCGGGTATATAGTAGAGCTGACAAGGGACAAGGTTGTTGTCACTTCTTGGCCACAACCAGCTACCAGAGGGAGTGAGTAGGTGGATCTTTGGGCTCAGGACCATAGTCATAAGGGACATCAAGCTCAACTTGCACAACATACTACACAAAACTTAAAAACTTGCAAGTGGCCATCCACATGCAACAATGGGTCTCTTCTTGTCCACAGCAAAGAAGAATGAAGAAAATCAAAGATTCATGGAAACAATTAGTCCAAGCGACTGGTACACCATGTGATCCTCAGCCTATATGACCATGAGACCAGAAGAACTAGATGGT